GATCACGAATGGGGCATCCTGTCATGGACCCTCACGCACCTGTGCGATGAGCACCACACCGCGCACATGTGCGCCCTGGCCTACCCCTTCATGCCCAGCATCAGCCAGGTCTACGCTGCTTATGTCACCGCTGTCCTAGGCCATAAGTCGCGCGTTTGAGGAGCCCATGCACGCACGAATACATGCGTAACGGGCCGCCGGTGCGGAGGCGCCGCCGCCGGGGCCGCCACGCGCGCTGGGGCGCCGCTGCACGGCCCAGTGGCTCCGTCTGCCAACGGTGTGGCACCGCGGCCAAAGGTGTGGGCCTGCGCTCGGCCCGCCTGCTATGTACGGTAGTCGTTTCTGCTGCAGTGCTTGGATTGTGGCGCATCATGCGTGCGTGGGCTTTGATTTGCGTGCGCCAAGTCCGCTGCGTCGCAGTGCGAGGCGGCCGGCGCCCTAGCCTCGCGCGGCAACCGCTTGCTGCTCCTTCGTGCCGCCACACGCCCGTCTGTAGACGGAATTGCTGCGCGGGCGCCGGCGGGCTCGGCGGGCTTCGCAGCCCCCCCTCCCTTCTTTGCTCTGACACGCTATCTCAAGGGTGATGCTGCTTTAGACGCTGGTGGGTGGCTTGGTGATCCCTGCTGGATTGGATGCATTTGCCCTTTCAGGAGCCGGTCAAACGTTGTCACTGTCCCTTCACCTTGCACTGGGTGGATTGCAGCCCAGCGCGCGTGCTTGATTTCACCTGCGGGGCTGCACACACGCGCCATGGACAAACCTGGTATCACCATTATGCATTATCACACATTATACCACGGCGCCGGCGCGTTGCGTGGATGGCTGACACGGCTGTTCTCACCCAGTGTATGTTGTCATTTGGCTTCAAAGCACAATGTTTCCTGTCCAGAAAGCATGCTGGCCTGCAGGGCCACTTGTTGATACGCGCGCATATATACTATCAGATGCAAGGCGCTCCCCCTTCCCTTGTGTTTTGCGCGGCCTGCGCGACCTCGCCGGCCACACCTACATTACTGCTCAAAGTTTGGTGGCAGCGCGTGCGACGCAAAGGAAACTGCCACAGAACCTGAGGCCAATTTTCATGGCTTACAAGCGCGCAATGTTTTCGTTGGTGGCCGTCCCTTTACTTCTCATGGCGGCCCTGCAATGAACCAGTCTCCTGGCGCAGAGACATCTGACGCGGCCGCGCCCGGTTTATTTGACCACATGCAGCCCAGGCTCAGCGGTTATAGTGGGGTCACCCCAACTTCATCAACAGATCGTTGGCTGGATGGTTTTTTAAAACTGCGGCACTTTCAAACAGAGCACCCAGGGCCGAAGCACACACCCACTTGTAAAACACGTTTATTTGCATTGCTGCCTTGGTAGGTTTGGTACGGCACTGATGGTCTACTATTGCAAGGTGCCCTTGTGGTGATTGAAACAACAAGAGTGCAAGCCGTCATCAGCAAAGAAGTGTGACTTCATCTCTAGGCAAGCCAACAGCGGCTGCTGCAAAGTTCGCCGTGTTACAGTATGAGGTTGTGTGTATTTGAGCATTGCCTGGCGCCCGTGCGCAGGCAACGTGGCCCCTCTCATTCGATTGCGTCCACATGGCCAACAGTTCTGGGCCGCTTTCAACAGCGCGTTTTGTGTGTTGCACTGCGTGCACCCCCAGAACTGTGCCAATCCATGAACCGGCTTCCTTGTCAAGTGGCACTTATATTCGTATGTGCATGGACGGGCACATCGCAAGGGCATGGCAATCCCCCAGCCTGCAGTCATGCATGCGCTCTGCTGCGTGCGCGCAGCGCTATCTGGACACAGACATTTGAGAGCTGTCCGCGACCAGCAGGCTCTACAGTCAGAAACTCATATTTGTCCTCGTTGCGTGGTTTATACGCCACGTTGTCCCTAGCCTCCATCGAGCAGTTTTGCGCCCGACTAGGCAAGCTCGTGAACGTGAGAACCCCAGTAAGAGGCGGAAAGCATTTCAGGTTGAGACACGCGAAAAGGCCACTCCTGGGCGACTGATAGTCTCAGTCTTGAAGAGGTGGGCGCTCCGATGCATGCTCTCCCCTCTACCTTCACGGGGTGTTTGCGGCGCCTCAGCGACAGCTGGCGGCAAACATCAATCCATTCAAAAAACATCAACATACAAACCACGTTTACAGGACGCCACACGTCAGCAGCCACTGTGGCGCACGCGCGCGTCTCCTGGTTCCCGCATCGCCTGAACTGCGCACTACCGCAGCACACACCCCGCAAAAATGAACGCCAAGCGCGGCGTGAGCGAGCAGGACAACGAACGCCACAAGAAGCAGCTGGCGCTCCTCGCCAAGCAGGAGGGCAACAGGGGCTGCGCGGACTGCGGCACGCGCAACCCGACGTGGGCCAGCGTCAACCTGGGTGTCTTCGTGTGCCTCACCTGCAGCGGCGTGCACCGCTCCCTGGGCGTCCACATTTCCCAGGTCCGCTCCTGCAACCTCGACACCTGGCTGCCGCGCCAGGTCGAGTTCATGGGCGTCATGGGCAACCTGCGGGGCAACCACTACTGGGAGGCGCGGCTCCCGGCCGGCTTCCAGCGGCCGCCGAGCGGCGCCCCGAACCCGCAGTTGGTGGGGTTCATCCGCAGCAAGTATGTCGAGCGCAAGTTTGCTGCAGAGGATGCGCCGCCACCTGACATCGACAATTGGCGGGCGCACCCGTACGGCGCGGGCGACGCTGCGGCTGGCGGCCCGGTGTCGACGGCTGCAGAGACGGTGGCGGCGCCTGCGCCGGCGACGGCAGAGGCGGCAGCAGGCAAGCCGTCGCAGCAGCAGCAGCAGCAGCAGCAGCAGCAGCAGCAGCAGCAGCAGCAGCAGCAGCAGCAGCAGCAGCAGCAGCAGGCTGTGGTCGCCACAACCCGGCCGCCCCCCGCCCCGCCGGCGGAGGATGACTGGGGTGACGATGGCTGGAACGACTTTGCCTCGGCGGCGCTCCCGGTCGACACCGGCGCTTCGGACCCTTTCGCTTTGCTCAGCAGCTCGTCTAAGGTGGCGGTGCGGTAGTGCAGCTCCCAGGCCCGCTGCTTTGGTGGTTGGCAACAACTTAACGCCACCTGAAAAGCATCAGGCGTTGATGGGCTTGTTGTGTGGGCGACGCGGAGCTTCCGATCAAGGGAAGATGGGCGACATGAGTACTGCAGCTTTGCTTAAATGAATATCAGCCTGCCCTGGTGCGGATGCTTCGAAGTAGTAATGCTGGGATTGGTCTCAGCACGGCAGCAGGAAGACAAGGAAGCTGCGGCCTGCTGTCGGTGTTCAGAGGTCGGTGCTCCAGGGGCCTGCAATAGGTAGTGCCGAGGCGGTGTAAAGGTTGCGACCGGGCTCATCGCTGGAGAGGCACCACAGCTGCTCTAAACTCCCAGGTTGGAGGGGGTTGGAGGGCGGCCGGCCCAAGCAGTTTACACTAGCGTTCCCTCCGCCGTTCTGGCTTTAGCGGCCGGTGCCACAAGTGTGCTGAAGTTGAGGGGCCCCGCTCGCACAAGTCTGTGAAATTGCAGCTGCGCCAACCACAGGTTGCAGCGGTAGATCCAAAGACTGCCGCAAAAGCGTCGCCGGGCGGCTCACTAGCAGGTACGCTTGGAGCGGGTTACTGCTGTGGTCGAGGCGTTCACGGCATCAGTTGCCCTCGCTTTTTATTTTGCGCATACACAACACACAAGAACAGCAACAGTCCAGCTGCGCCCGGTCACGATGCTCGCCTCTTCTGCCACGTCGAGGGTCGCGCGGCATGTGCAACGACCCATCGTGCTACGCAGCCAACATGCAGTAACACGGCACCCAGCTCCGCGGCTAGCAAGGGCGGGCGGAGAGACGGGTGGGTTTGCCACCTTTGGAGATCCAGAAACCTCTGGCTCGCGAGGCTTCTCAGACTCCATTTGGTTTTAGTAGAGGCGTTACACGCGGGAGCTGCCGTGCCAGCCTGGTGGCGTGAACGGCGCGGCTGGCTTGCGGGCACGGCGGGCGATGCGCTCCACGCAGGGCGAACAGCTCACCCACCCCGCCCCGCCGCCTCACCCCTTACCGCCTCGCTCTTCCCTCCCCTCCGCCCCCGCAGCCGCGGCCGCCCCAGTGGCGGAGATGCAGGCGATCACGCTGACCGACGCGGCGCTGGCGCACCTCAAGAAGATGCGCAGCGAGGTCGGCGGCGACGAGCTGCTGCTGCGCGTCGGCGTCAAGCAGGTGCGCGCGTCCCCTCCCCCTTGCGCCATGCCCCCTTAGCAGCCGCGCATCGGCGCCCCTCTACCACACACAGCGGCAACCTTTGAAGCTCCCTGGTCCTTCAAACAGCACCCGCAGCCGCGGCGCCGCAGCGGCCGACCCGCAGCAACCGCGCCGCGCGCCGTGCCCTCGAAACCCCCGCACAACCAGGGCGGGTGCAGCGGCATGTCGTACGTGATGGACTTTGAGGCCCCCGAGAAGCTGAGCCCCGACGACACCCTCCTGTCCGCCGGCAGCAGCCCCGACGCGTCCGGCCTGCGGCTCGTGTGCGACCCCAAGAGCCTGCTGTACCTGTTTGGCATGCAGCTGGACTACTCGGCGGCGCTGATCGGCGGCGGCTTCAAGTTCCAGGTGCGGAGCCGCACGCAGCGGCGCCCAGCGTTTCCGGGGGTCGCGACGGCGGGCTGGGCAGCGGCGCCGAGCCTTGGCGCATGCATGGTCAAGGTTCTGAGGGTCAGGGGGGCACCCTGGCAACGAGCTGGGTGCAAGTGGATGAGCAAAGGCACCAGGGATGTGCAGCGGCGCCAAGCAGCCACGCATTTACCGGCCTCTGCCCCCCTCCTTCCTCGACTCCCAGAACCCCAATGCCACGGAGACCTGCGGCTGCGGCACGTCCTTCACTGTTTGATGTGATGCGGCCAGTTGCAACGTGACCAGACCTCTCCTTGCAGCGGCTCTCAACAGCTTGAAATGGCGCCGCAGCCGCCCCTGCTGGTTCGATCAAGCTGCGGATTGCGCCGCCACCGGTGGCTGCCGTCAGCTGACAGCGCTGCAGACAGCTGACAACCAACGCGTCTTGCTCGCACGGCCTGCAGCAGTCTGCCGGGTGCGCAGATTTGTCGCCGCCGCCGAAGCGGCGCGTGTACCATCTCCTCATCTAGAGCGCCCCGGTGCTACAGCCTGGCATCGCCGGCACATTCAGCTGGCGTGCATGCTGAGTTGTGGCGTTGGTGCGTTTGAGCGTTTGGCCGCATCCGTGGCCCGCGTGGGCCCCAACCTGCAGGCTGCGCGTGCTGAGGTGTCGCGCCAGAGTATGTGTGCGTTTTGGTTCGAACCACATCCCCTAGAGTTGACTCCAGCCTCACCCAGGGCCCAGCTGTGGTGGTTTTGTCTGCATTTGTTACAGGGGTGCTTCTGGGTCCTGCCCAGGTTTGGATTTGGCCACAGGAACCAACAGACGCTGGGGAGCTGTTGAGGGGGATCGCAGACAGCGCGGCGACACACGGGCGAAACTATATCGCAGACAGCTGCGGCGTTGGTGCAGCGGCGTGTCACTAATGCTGCTCACAGCATGAAAGGGGGAAGGGTACAAAGGACACCGAGACCGTGGAAAGGGCGCACGGCACAAAACAAAATGGCAGCAGCGCTCTGTGTGCCACGCATATAGGCAGACCCCCAGCATGCAACGCGAACTGTGCAGGCCTCCCCGGCGACCGCCCCAAACACCCGCGAAGGGCGCGGCTGGCCGTGGCGTGGGGCAGCCCAGGGCACGGCCGCCCTCGTCACGTGCGCTGTGCGATGGCCGGCAGCCCCAGTTCCTCCTCCGCATTGGCCTGAGGGGCCGTGGGCAGCTCTGGAAGGTCGGGCTCCTGGGGTCAGGAGGAGTGTGGATGGGTCCAGGGGTTAGTAGAGGCACAGCAAGGATGGGCCAAGGGGCGACGGCGAAGCGGGCTGAAGGCTGACGTGAGACGATTGCGTCTCCGCGCGCCGCACCGCAGCAGCATGGGCCCATCACGGGGCGGTCGGCTCTGAGACCGCATGCAGCCCGATGCTGGACCAAGCTTCAGCGAGTGCCACCTCCCAGCTCCTCCGACCCACTCGCAACAGCCTCCACATACAAACACACCTGAACCCGCACGCACGCAAGCGCACACACACACACACACACCCAAACACACACACCCACACAAACTCTCTCTTGTACGAACACGCTCACACGCACCTGCAGGTAGCTGGGCACTCCCCCCGCCGCTGGCTCCGCCATCATGTCCCCCTCCAGCGCGTCCAGCTCAGCCATGAGGTCCCCCTCGTCCACGTCCTCGGGGACGGCAAACGACTGCCCCATCATCTCGTTGATGTCATTGGTGAGGTCCTGGGGGATGGGTGGGTGTGCGGGGTGGGGAGGGGCGGCGGGCAGGGCGCGCAGTGACAACGACTCTCGGGACCACGCGCCGCCGCAGGCATCCCGGGCTTGCGACCAGGATTGCCTTTGGGGCTTTTTACCCAGGCCGCCGTGCAGCGCCACCACCACGGTAGTGCTGACAGAATCTGAGCGGCAGCAGCCCCAGGACGCGAGCGCACGCGCGTGGACAACATAGCCCCGGCCGCCCACCGCCATGTCGGCCAGCTCGTCCTGCAGCTTGTCTATGAAGTTGAGGTCCAGCTCCTTGTTGGCCTTCATGGCGCCACGCATCTCCTTGGAGGCGCCCTTGAGCGCCTGGCCGCAGGGCGAAAGTGTGGCGGCGGGGGCGGCGGCGCGTGGAGGGGCGGAGGGTTGGCAAGGGAAAAGTGCAGGCCGGAACCACACGGACCCTCACGCAATCGTGTGCGCGCACGCGCGCACGCACGCGCACACGCACGCATACGCGCACGCATGCACGCACGCCCACATACACACATACCGTATGCACGTGCATGTGCACGCGTGCGGGCACGCGTGCCTGCACGGCCGCTGCTGAACAAACCCTCGTCTCGCAACAGAGGTGTGAGAGGTCTGTGGTGACGACAACTGTAGGTACCGCGCCCATGCCCCCTCTGGGCCTCCTTCCTCACCTGCACGGTCTGCACGGTGTCCTGGATGCTCTCGACAGTGAACTTGGTCTGCTCCATGTTGAACTGCTGGTTGTAGAGGGTCTCCCGCTGCCCCTCAAACATCTTCTTCTGCCGCAGCACCTGGAGCGCATTTTGTCCGGTTCAAAACGCTGGCATCGCCTGGCAACCGCGCGGCCGCACGGCTGCCTTGACAGAAGTTGCGTCGCGGCTGCGCCAGCAGGCGCTCGCGGGACCGACGCACTCGCCGCACCTCGCCGGCATGGGCGACCCTCCACTGCGTCCCCTGCGCGGCTGCACAAGACCCGCGGCTGCCTGGCCACCTCACTCGGCAACAGCATTGGTTTCACGGCCTTGTGTGATGGCGCCTCTTAAACTCGCCCGCACCTGCAAGGCGCGCCGCTTGATCGCCTCCTGCCCCGGCCCCGGGCGCGTCTTCTTCAATTGGTCCTTGAACTTCATCAGCTGCTCGTCCAGCTTCCGGATCTGCTCATCTAGCCTATGTTTGTACAGAAACCAGAGATACGTGCGGCTTGCTTGGGCTGGCGTGCAATGGGAAGATGCGGTATGCGGCTTTGCATGCAACGGCAGCGTGCCTCGGCAACGCGACTGCGGGTCCGTGAAGGGCGCCGTGCTGGGGATGCAGCAAGGCCAGCGGAGCCGCAGCTGGCGGCTTGTCAAGCACCCACCTATCCCCTCTGCTGGTTAGGCGGTCGCCCGCCTGTTCCAGCGTGGGCGCTGGCTCCTTCTTCTGCGGCGCGCCGAAGATGCGCCGCATGGTTGCGCCGCTGCTGCTTTGCCCAACGCGCCCGGACAGCAGACAGCCCAACTGTAAAGGTTACAGCTATCCCGTGAAAGCGCACGACGCCGCCCACGCTGACTTGTACGTTGGGACGCTGGGCTGCTTAGTAGAAGCAACTGCGTGCGCAGTGTAGAGTTGGCACGACCAAGCTCAAGTGACAGGCGCATGAAATTTCGTAAGCTGCATCAATCAGCTGCGAGTGCTGGTTACCACATAGAGAACTGTCTGGGTCGGATCTGGTCTTGTAGCTTCCCGCAAGCCTCGCCACCACAACGGCTACGGGGCTGAGCTTTCCAGTACTTTTGGAGCAGCCGTATGCTGATCTTGTAACATTGCACCGCTCAGACCGCCTATCAGGGTCGCATGTGGCGCCTCGTGCACCCATCAGCGAGCGCGCAGGCCGCCCTGGTTTGCCGCAGCTGACCCTGTAAGAATGTGGGCCGGCGTTGTTCAGGCCTGCAATCGCGCCGCCACGTGGTGGACACGCCATTGTGGACACGTAGTCGACCACGATGAGATCGCCGCCGCCAGGGAGCGTCCTGCACAGTCTCAGTCGTCACCAGGGCAGGCGCCGACCCCGAGAGACCCTGGCCCCGCGCGCCGCTGCGCGCCCGTGCCGTCCGTTTCGCAGCTGCTTGAATGGCGGCCGCCCACGCCGGCGTCGGCGGACGACCCCTGCGCATCGCGTGTGCCGCTGCCGCCGCCGCCACCGGGCAGCGCTGGGGCGGCCCGGCCGAGGCTCCTGGTGTGCCACGACATGCGAGGGTGCGTGCCTGGGCGTGCCTTGTGTGGGCATGCAGTGCAGGCCCTGCCTATCTTTTGAGCCTGCCGTTTTGACTGGTGCGCCAAGCTCGTCTTTTCAAGCTCTCGAACTGTTTCCTTTCACTTTCTCAGAGGCTATGGCAACGACGCTGCTGTTGACCGCGTGTGGCTGCCCGAGTCTGAGAGCAGCCAGGAGTACCGGCTGTGGTGGGCGCGGCGGACGCGCGCGGCTGCGGACGCCACCCCCAGAGGCTGCATTTCGCCCATGCCTCTGCTCGCAGACCCCTATGGGCTTGATAACCGTGCCCCTCATGCTGCGCTGCACTGCACACGCCAGCTTCGTAGGCGGTTTTGAGGAGGTCGCTTCCCGCTTGCTCAACGCATGGTTCGGTGGTAGCCCGCCGCGAGCCCTCGGTCGTCTCAACCCCTCAACCCCTGCAGGCACTGGGGCGCCGTCGACACATTTGTGTACTTCAGCCACCACCTGGTGACCATACCCTGCCGCGGCTGGATCGAGGCGGCCCATACGCACGGCACCAAGGCGCGCGCGAGGGGTGCAAGGGTCGCGGCCTGAGTTTCGACCGAAGGGCAGGGGAGAGGGAGAGACGGACGCAAAGTGCACCGCCTCTCTTTCTTCCTCGGACCCTTGATTTTGCAAGACAAACCGCTGCTCCTGTCCCAAGAGTTTTTTTCCTGTTTATTGTGGACCTGGCAGCACTGCCGCGATCGCGCTCTCCCCACCTTGGAGGGTGGGCAATCGAGCTCGACTGCCTCAACCCCCCCCCCCCCCGCAGTGCCTAGGGACCTTCATAACCGAGTTCCGTCTCGGCTCGCAGCGCTGCGCCCGGCTGTTTGGCAGCCACGAAACGGCGCTGGCAGTGGCGGAGCGGCTCGTTCACATTGCGGCCCACTACGGCTTTGATGTGAGCGCCGGAAATTGAGGGGGCGGGTGCTTGCGCTGATTGTGGGCGAAGAAAATGCTTTTGTGAGGAGCGTGACAGCTGGCAGGCTGCAGCTTTGCTGGTTGCACACGACCCTTTCGCGGGTGACGCCTGAAATGCGCCGCGCGCTCCTTCGCCAGCTGGGACGCCGCGGAAGGTGGCGCCTTCTCTGCATCTGGGGCGCATGTGCGGGGCGCCTATCTCAAACCTCGGGACCCACCTTTCTCAGCTCCCGTGCCCTACAGCAGAAACATCCCTGAAACCACCATGCCGCGTCTGCTTCAGGGCTGGCTGATCAACATTGAGAACCCGCTGTCGCACAGGCAGCTGCAGAACCTGAAGCACTTCCTGGGCCACCTGCGCGCCCGCCTGCACTCGGCGGTGCCGCACTCCGAGGTCATTTGGTACGACGCCGTCACCACACGCGGCCGCCTCCACTGGTGCGCGCGCTAGCTGCTGGCCGGCCAGCCCCGGTGCTGTGGCCCCGGCCGCTTTTGCCTGCTTCGCTCTTGGCGCATGAAAATACGGAGGCAATGTCGGTGTAGACTACCCTCCAGGAACGAGCCCCCTTTTGACCCAATGCTTTGTGTGGAACCTCTCCCTTCAGTGGGCCCTGACCTGCTGCTGACCACATGCGCTCACTCGCCTCTGAACCAACCCCGCATTTGTGCCTCGGCGCCACCACAATAGGCAGAACGGCCTCACCCCTCTCAACGAGCCGTTCTTCGACCTGTGTGATGGCCTCTTCACCAACTATGCCTGGCAGCAAGACACACCACGCAGGGCCGCGGCGGCCGCGGGCGGCAGGTGCGCACCCACGCCATGTGTCTTGCCTTAGGCATAGTAGCGCGGGCACAATCTGGGCTCCCCTGCAGCGCTGGTCATGGAGACAGGTCAACGCTTGCGCTACTACTGCAGCACCCCTGGCTTCTGCTACTGGCCCAGCCTTTCCCTGGCTTCTGCTCCTGGCGCAACCTGCCTTGCGCCTGGTCCGTCCCTTGGTTTCATGCAGTTTGCTTGCGGGTTTTATTGAGATACCTTCTCCCACCCTCACCGGCGCCGCAGGGCAACGGACGTGTATTTTGGATTCGATGTCTTTGGCCGCGGGACCTTTGGCGGCGGCGGCCTCGGTGTCACCAACGCACTCACCGCCATCACCAAGGCCGGCGTCTCCGCGGCGCTGTTTGCGCCCGGCTGGACGCTGGAGTGCCACGAGCGCTCCGAATTTGAGGCGGTGCAGGAGCTTTGGTGGCGGCGGGTGCGCGAGCCGCGCTCGACAGCGTGGGGCTTTGCGTGACGGGGTTTGACTGCGTAGTCGCTGCCGGCCCAGCAAAGGAAATCCACACTTTTTTTCAAACGACAGCAAACAATTCCACCGCGTTAATGAGCACACTTGGGACCCAACCGGGCTTTGCAGGTCGAGCAAGCGTGGGGCCGGCAGCGCGCCTTCCCTTGCCGCCTGCCCCTGTCAACCAGCTTTAACTGTGGCTTTGGGCGAGCGCTGTACAGCGGCGGCCGCAAAGTGGATGGCCGCGCGTGGCTGCACCTCTCCAGCACGCAGCTGCTGCCGTCTGGGTGCATGGCGCAGGCGGAGGTGAGTCACTCCCGCGCACAGGCCACGTTGGCCTCTGGACCCTCCCGTTTGCTAGGCCCTCGTGCTGCCGCAGAAGTGCAGCAGCACACCACACGCGTGAGTACCGCCGGCTCCCCAGCAGCATGAACAGTGCCAGCGCGGCTCCCCATGCTCGCAGGCTGACGAGAGCCTGCGGCTGGAGCTCACCGCCGAGGCTGCGTACGAAGGAGGTAGCTGCGTCGCGGTAATTTTGGCGCCTGGGAGCGTGGCCGGCTCGACGACCGCAGACAGCCAGTGGCAGCGGCCGCATCCACCGCGACCACAACAGCAGCAGCAGCAGCAGCAGAAGCAGGAGCGGCAGCAGCAGCAGCAGCAGCAGCAGCAGCAGCAGCAGCAGCAGGCTGGGCGTTCAGCCACGCATGTGCTGCGACTGTTCAAGTTGCACATCCCATTGCCGCCGGCCAACTGCGGAATGCGCGTGCAGTGCATTGTGCGCCACACATCTGACCACGCCCACGTCACGGCACTGCTGTTGCACCTGGCGCCCTGTGAAGTCTCTTCAGGGCCAGCTTCCGCTTTGGATGGCGAGGGGCCAGGTAGCACAGACGGCCGCTGCATTGCGCTGCTGGCGCCGCCGCCTGCCCGCGATCGGGAGGCAGCGGCCACCGCCACCACTCTGGATGCAGTCCCTGACTCAGAGGTGGTGGTCAGCGCAGCGGTCGTGCAGGACACGGGCGCAGCGGCCGGCTGGGAGCAGTGGGAATGGGAAGTTCCGCGCGGCGCCCTGGGCGGCGCGACGGCGCTCAGCAAATGCAGCTTGCTGGTCGCACAGGCGGGCAGCCCTGGGGGATCGCAGTGCGCGCCCCTTGGAACTGCGAGCCGCACAGGCGCCATCGCCTTAATTGGTAGGCAGCCGGTCGCGATCGTTGACATCCCAGTGCTGACGACTGTGCATTCAATAGCTGGAAGGCGCGGCCGCCTTGATCCAACAGCTTGCATGCAGATCAGAGCAGTAGTTGAACGCCTTGACGCCGGCCTGGCGGGTGTTCGCATGGCCTTGCTTGCAACTCTCTTGGCTGCTACTAATCTCTTCCGCCCCTCAACCGCAGGGCAGCTGCAAATGACGCCAGCAAAAGGGCTCTGAGCTTGTCGCCAGCCCCAGCTGATGAGTACGGAGCGCCCACTTCTGGGTGCGGGTGGCAGTGTCACCTGGCGTTGCTGGCACGCCGTCACGACGACGGAGCAACTTATCAACCTGAGCAAACAAAACGCAAATTGGCCACGCGCGCAGGTGTGATTTCGTCCCAGTATTAATGTGTGCCATGGTTAGAAGCTCACAAAAGTTCAGAGCGGCTCCCCACACACATCCTGACTTGTGCTCATGTCATCATGTCAGCGGCGGTGGCCATGCACAAATGACTGTTGAAGCCCTGTTTTGCCGTGCCTACTAGGCGGCCAGAGCAGACTTCAGGTCAACGGGCAGGGATGCCTCTGGAGACGGGCCCGGTAGGTACATGGCCGGTGGACGCACGCCACGGCCGCCGCAACAGCTGGGCACAGCTTGAGACTGACGTCGCCAAAGTGCCCGACTTTTTCGCAGCGGCGTGGTTGATGCTTCAATAATGTTACATATGGCTTTCTGGCCGTGTCGGAGGTGCTTCGGTGCTCACAAAAAGCCGAGCGGCACCGAGGAGTGCACATGCCCTGTCTGATGAACAATCACAAGCTGTCACGTTTCAATCGAACACATGTGCAAAGTCACTATCTCCTGATACATCTATTTTGTCTTGAACGTACCGAGGCCCGCCCTTGCCGACTTCGCACGCAACAAGCCAGTCCCTTGTGCGCCCGCCACCATGTGCTATCTGGGATTCCCCGCGGCGGGCCCCGCGGCCTCTCCTCCTGACCAGACCCATCTGCAGGCCCAGGTGAGGCTCGAGGCGAGTTTTCCGTGATGGCCAGAGTTTGCCCCCTCGGCATACGCGCACGGATGGACCTTCCGGTGGCGTGGGAAGCCATAAACTCGTGTCGGTTGATCTCGTGTGCATCATTGGTCGCGAGAGCGGTGCTGCACGCCCTGGCCCCTCGGGATGACTTTTGCCGGGCGCCCTCATGTCGCACGGGCATCGACTCTGCTACACATACATAGTCAATTAATCACTTTTCGGCCATTTGAGGGGGACCCTGCGGCATCATGGTCGCCTTGACATGAGGGGAGCGGGGGGCCTCATCGCTGCAGCGACCCGCGCACCTGTTGACACGCCCCTCAAACCACCAAACCCTGCGCCCACGCGCCAGCGATTGACCGCGACACCCCTTTCGCTACTCTGTAGGGGAATAAGGAGCGCACACCGTCGCCATATGCGGACGAATTCATGATGTGGTGCTTCAAGGCGAGCACGGCTGCAGCCTGCCCGTGGGCGCCGCGTGCCCTGCCGCTCCAATTCCGCCCGCGCCATGCGCATGTGGCGGGCGTCCAGGGGAGCGATTGCTGCGCGCCGCCCGCCTGCTGCATTGAAAGCAGGCGCCGCGCGCCTCCGCTTGCGTCGTGCCACTTGCCCCTCGCCCTCCCCCCAAACCAGCAGCAAAGGCTGCAAACTGCAGACCACCTTGCCCCCGCTCTGCGTCCCTGCTCACTTGTATTGGCGCCCCTTACCCTTTCTGGACCACCTCAGGTGGTCGACTGCGACAACCCAGACCACGGCCGCGACGACTGGGACGCCTGCCCCTTTGCCCACGCCGGCGAGGTGGTGACGCGCCGCCCCCCGCAGACGCACCTGCCCAAGCTCTGCCCCAAGGCGCGGCGCGCCTGCCGCAAGGGCAGGTGAGGGCGGCGACCACCGGGCGGCCTTGTGTGAGCCCGGGCCTCGCTTTGCGAAACGCTGGCGTCGGCGGCCTCACTGACAGCGTTTTTGGCGCGCGGGTTTCCAGCTGCCGGTTGCTCGCTTTGGCCATGAGTGTCTTGCCTTACCTTGCCCTGCAGACTCTGCTAACCGCCCCTCCTGCTGCCACGCAATCCAACATTTACACAGGTCCTGCCCCTACGCCCACAACGTCTTTGAGCACTGGCTGCACCCCAGCCGCTTCAAGACCGAGATCTGCCAGCACGGCTCGGCCTGCGGCCGCCCCATGTGCTTCTTCGCGCACTACCAACACGAGGTCCGCCACCCCTCGCCCTCAGCTGATGACGTCATGGCCGCGGCGGAGGCCGCCGGCCTGCTCGGCCGCCCCCACGCCCACGGAGGCTGCGGCGGCTGCGGCGGGCGCTGCTCCGATGACTGCTACGACGGCGGCATGGGCATGGGCGACGGCTTTGGCCATCAGGGCGGCTCGCAGGGCTACTGTGCGCCGGCGCCGGCGCCCGTGGCCGCGCCGGCGCCCGCGCCGTGGCTGGCCCCGCCGGGCCTCGCGGCCTGCGTGCCGGCGGCGCCGCTGCAGCAGCAGCAGCAGGCCATGCCGCAGCAGCAGCTGCTCGGCCAGTTTGAGCCCGACGCGTCTTTCGCGGCGCAGTGCCTGCAGGCCCAGCCGCCGGGCGGCTGGTCTGTCAGCGACTGGTCCGTCCTGTCGAGCGGCAACAGCTCCCCTTCATATATTGCGACGCCCGCCGCCCCGACGGGCTCCCCTGCGGGCGGCTTCCCTCCGGCCGCCCTAGGTGCGCCCGCCGGTGGCCTGCTGCGCACCGCCGCGTACGGCCTGTGGGACGGCGCCGCCCCGGCGCCGGCGCAGGCGCAGGCGCCCGCGCCGCGCGCGTGCGGCTTCGGCGCGCCCGGCGTGGGTGTGCTGTCTTCGGAGGATGCGCTCTGTCTGCTGGTTTCGGGCCTGAATGTCGGGCTGCAGGCCGGCAGCGGCCCCACTGCCTTGGCCAGCGACTACCTGTGGGCGCTGCAAGCGGAGCAGGGCCATTCCCATGGGCTGGCCACCTTCTACTGAGAAGCCTGCCTTTCCCCAGACAATACCCTGCGACCCCGCTTGCTGGGCGGCCTGCCTGAAAGCGCGCCCTCTGGCGGGCGCGGGGGCCCGGGTGTGACCCCGGTACGGCCTTTTGATGAAGCCTCGCCTGCTACCCAAACCGCCCAGCTTGGCACGCCGCAAGCTTTAATACTCAACCCCCCACCCTTCACGTCGGGCAGGTTGATCGCCCTCTCCCCCCCCCCCCACCGCTGCGGAGCGCGCTTTTGCGCACCCAACAGGCGCCATGCCGGGCCCGTTGGCGCAGAATGCGGCTGGGGGCTCGGAACATGATGCAGTGCTTTCTGATGGAGAGCGGCCCTTCTAAGCCGCCGCGCGCCGGCGCCGTTGAATCGTTAGCAACGGCTTACACACCGCATTCGCCTCTGCCCACAAATCGAAATCCGCCACCCCTTACACACCGCAACCTGCCCCGCGAAGCTTGCGGCGACGGCGCCTCCACAGGGCCGCCGGCGCCGGCGCCCCCTGCCGCCGCACCTTATTGCTAGTCTGGACCACTTTGGCTCCCCCAACCCACGGCCTGCAACATTTGTGTTTCCCTGCAAGTTGCCGAGGAGAGTCGGGACCGAGGCGCGCGCTCTTTCGCTCACAGGCGGGCGGCGCCTTGGCTGCTTGCCCGCGCTTGGCGGGCCCCTGGCGAGCCCGCATGAACCACCAACCCCGCGTGCAGCGCGCCGCACATGTGGGCGCGGAATATCCGGCCCAGCCGCGCGCGCAGCGCCCCGCCTCCACTGCGACGGCGCTTCAAGGATTTCGCACTTCAGGGGCGCCCCGGGCCCTCCCTTCCCCCACCCGCTGCACGCGCACAACAGCCGCGTCGAGTCCTCCCTTAAGCACGAGCTTGCGGCGTCAGCGCCTGTTTTGTGTCCCCTGCGTGGCACCGCGCCTCGCAGCGCGCGCACGGCGCCGCGAAACACGGCACGCTGAATTTTTTTTGGGTTGAGAGCACCAGATCACATTGAGACTGCTTGATCCTCGCGCGGCAGGCCACCAGGCACTGCTGCAGAGGGTGCGGCGCTACGTGCTCGCGCCCTGCACCTCGCCCATTCAGGGCTTTCGGCCGCCTCAACGCATCCCCACAGCACACAGGGCGAGCAAGCGCTTTGCATGCTGTTGTGGTGGGATGGGACGCATTTTTTTGGGATAATACTCGCATGCAACCAGCTTCTGTGGCTCGCAGGCATGCCTTTGAGCTTGCCCACCTGCGGTCAACGGTTCACGGTTTGACTAGATCGGCTGGTCACAGCAGTCCTGCTCCGCCAGGAGAGTCAACCGACGGGCAGAGCGCGATTGACATTTTCAAGTGTAACACATTGATGCGTGCAGATTGGCGTCCTGCCTACGCGCTAGGCCCCATGTTGCTGACCAGCACAGTCCCGCCCTCGTCACGTGCTTTGCTGGCAAAGCGCACACGTGTCGGACCATCAGTCGCGCTGGCCCAAGTATTGCGTCCTGCCCTCATCAAGCATACATGACGCAAGTATCATACTAATCCTGTCCGTAGAATTATTATCAAGCACACCACACGTGCACCCGAGTGATCTGCCGCCGGAATGCAAGCCCTGCACGTGCACCCCACGCATTCATTAACCAGAACACATAAGATCATTATATGTCACCCAGCGGTCGCAGCACGGGCGCGGGTCACAGTGGCCGCACGGCGTCCGGCATCAAGTGACGCGCCCGGCCCCGACCCTAGGGGCTCCCCAACAGGTGGCACCCCCAGCGCCAAGGCCGCCGCCAGGCCCACCCAACGAAGGACGCGCGCGGCAGTGCCTGAGCCACCCCCGCCTCCTGCGGCAAGCGCTGGTGCAGGCGGCAACGAGGCGGACGGCAGCGAGGCCGGCGGTGGAGCGGGTGGCGCTGGCGGCGGTGCCCGCAGCAGGCAGCGCAGCGCGGCCGAGGCGGGCTGGGTGGCGACGCGGCGGCCACGCGTCCTGCTGCTTCACACAGTGAGCTCTGCTGTGGCGGGCTGACCTGCCAGCGTGCCGCTTGGGCCCTATGCATATCGTGCACCCCAGGCCAGCCCCCCTCACGCGCCCAGCTGTCATCTGAGGGTCGCGGCTCACCTGCGGCCCCGCCGCTGCGGCGAGCCGGCTTGGATAAGGTGGTCTAACGGCTCCATGCCACCGGCACGTGCATGCACGCGTCGCCAGGGCGGCACCTTGGGCATGGACGCAGCCGAGAGCTTCACGGCGAGCGAAGACGGAATTCTGCGGCTTAAGAAAGGGACTGGCGGGAAATACAAGGGTGGGGCGCACGCACGGCCGCCTGAAGCGGAGATTCATTTTCATGGAAGGGGCACCACAGTGCAGGGGCGGTGCGGGGCGGGGCTTGGCGGGATGGCCGGCTTGGGTAGCGGGCACTTCGGCCAGGCGTCCAGGGGTGGCGTCAGCAACACGGCTGCCAGCAGAGTGTTTGCGGATTGCACCCCCCCCCCCCACACACACACATGCACATGCACATGCACATGCATACGCACATGCACACACACACACACACACCCCTCACACACCTCACACACACACTCGCCTACGCACTCATGTGCCTTTCGCGCTCACATACATCCCGCCGAAGGCCTCGAGCCTGGTGACATGCTGTCAAATCTGTTCAATGTCGTACCAGAGCTAGGAACGTGAGGCGCCCGCCGCGCCCCGCTGCGCCTGCAGCCGCGTGCCAGCAACGCTCGCGTCCTGCCCACTTTGCAGCGCGCTTCCCCCTCACGCCACGTGCGTCCTTGTTTGGGTGCGCATTTCGTTCCTTCAGGATTGCCCAGATTGATTTGAAGATACCCTTCAACAAGGACAGCAGTAGGTGGGGTGAGGGGCCCGGTGACGGGGCAGGTAGACTTCAAATGTGTGTGCATGTGCATGTGTATTTTTGTGTGTGTGTGTGTGTGTGTGTGTGTGTGTGCATGCATGTGTGGGTGGACGTGCATGTGTGCGTGCATGCGACCTCGATTGGCCGCACCTGTAGAGCCAACGGGCTGCTTGATATGTGAAGGCTCCCAATTCAGCCGAGCCGCGCACTGCTCCCCTGTATCCCTGCATACCAAGGGTGGGCCCCAGGGAGTGGGTGGAGATCGCGCGGTTGCTGGACAGGCACAGGTGGGGCCCTGGGGCGCATCGCTCCCGCTGCCCGGCCGGCCGCGACCGCTGCCATCGCCAAGACTGTCCTAATGCCGACAGCCCGTGCCTGCGACGCCAGGCAGCAAGAGTCCAAACCTCCCGAACCCCCGGCTTTGCAGGGCAGAGTATGACGCGTTCCTGGTTGTGCACGGCACAGACACGATGGCCTACACCGCCAGGTGGGGGCCCCGCCCTCAGCCATGCCTTCTTGGGGAGCTTGTCGCCTCGGACGAGCCCCACTGGTTGCGGGCCACCGGGCAGCTGGCGGCAGCACGCGCGAAGCCGTGTCTCGTGACGCCCTGGCATCCTTCCTGCCCCAGCCTTTTGAGTAAGCAGAGTGGCATTTGAGAGCCGCTCCCATCCAGACTCGCGCCGCACCCACTCCCAACCGTCGCCCATTTCGCTCCCCATCCACCCCGACCTCTACCGCTCGGTCGTCTCTGAAATCCCCCGCCTCGCATCAGCGCGCTGAGCCTGATGCTTCTGGGGTTCCGGAAGCCCATCGTGCTCACCGGCAGCCAGATGCCCCTGGCCAGCGCGCGGACGGACGCGCGGCAAAACCTGATCGACGCCCTCACCTGCGCAGTTGCCGGCCAGACGCCGCCCCACGTGCAGGCGAGGCGCCGCGTGCGTTGCGTCTTGCTTGGGGTGCGTGCCCGTGAAGGGCGATGCAAGGATGCGCTGCTGCGCTCCGACGGCGGAATGAGGCAAGGGTGCATGCACGCAGGCTTCGTAAAATATGTTGGGGTGTTGGCTGCTGCCCTTCGAAATGCAACCGCAGTGGTCTGAGGTGGCGATCTGCTTCGGCGGCAAGCTGATGCGCGGCAACAGGGCCCAGAAGGTCGACTCCAGCTCCTATCAGGTGGCGCGGCGCCGGGGGCCCCGCAACTGGGATCCGCACGGCTCCCCGAGCTCCCGCCAGCGCCTCCCACCACGGCTGGCGACCTTGGTTGCACGTGTGCACGTGCTTCCCTGCTCACGCACCCGCACTTCCCTGCTTGCTGGCACCAGATAAAGGAGAGCTTTGTGCACCTAGATGCCTCATGAAAACTGGAATGGGAAATTTCCTGGCGCATTCACCATGATTTTGCCGCCTGCCCCGCTTCTGCTCCGTCCCATGCAAGCGGCACCGACCACTCTCGCACCCCTCTGCCCTGCGGCACGGCCCCTGATTTCATTCCTTTGTCTCACAGGCGTTCGACTCCACATACCCTTACCTGGCCACCCTGGGCATCGGCGTTGACTGGTGGGCCGCCTGTTGCTCCGACAGCCAGGCGCCGCAGCACGCGGGCCGCCGGCGCGCACAGTCGCAGCCGCCACGGGGCTCAGCTGATCGGCGAAGCGGCGACCCCACATTCCAGACTCAGTGTAGCACAAGACCCAGAACCCGCCCTGCCCCTCGCCCCATTTTTCGAACCCAGGAACCACAAGTTCTTGTTGCAGTTGGAGGGCAGCTACCGACCCAGGTGGGATTCCCGACAGCACGTCGCCCCCCTCACCCTGTGTCAGCCTGTCGTGTCATAAACTGTCACCTGCTGGAAGTGACCAGTCCAGCCACGCGGACTGGTAGCTTGCCCAGCCTGTGGAGCAGTGCTGCCCAAAGGTTGCGGTCGGCCTGCGGCTCAACGCCTGTGGGCCCCTTGGGGCCAGCCAGCGGAGCCGCGGCACCGCTTGACTAAAGATATCATCAGAGCAGGTCGGTTCAAAAGTGAGGCTCTGCGCCACGCGGCCCCCCCCCCCATCCACGCACGCACGCACCCACGCACACACACACACACACACACACACACACACACACGCACGCACGCACGCACGCACGCACACACACACACACACACACAGACACGCACGCACGCACATGCACACACGCACACATCCCGCAAGTATCAGGCGCTTGACCCCATGCATTCCTCCTCTCCAAGCCCCCAGGTTCTTGCTCGACCCTGCAGTCATCAGGATACCCATCGTGCCCGGCAGCGACCCGCGGCTTTGCTACGGGTAGGGAGGGGCCCGCGTGTGTCGTGGGGCTGGGGCTTGGACCGGAGCGGGTTGCGCGTCAGCGCCGGCGCGTCACCACCCTCCCCCCTGCTTGCGGCAGCCGCTCGCTGCAGACAGCCCCGGCGCGCGGCGGTTGCGCCCGCGAAGCCACCCCGGCCCCTGCGGGTCCGCCGGCCGCGCGCCCGCGGCCTGCCCGCCGCGCGCCTGGGCCCCATCCGCGCACGCCCCCGCCCCGCCTGGCGCCGCCGCAGCGATCTCATGGCGCGCGGTGTGAAGGGCGTCGTGCTGGAGGTGAGCGCGCGCCCGCGCACCCGCCCCCGCCGCGGCGGTCCCCGAGGCTTCCAGGGTGCTTGTCGTCTGCGCCTCTGTGCGGCGCCGCCGCTCGCCGGCGCACGATCGCTGCGCGGCTTGTTTGGGGTTGTGACGCGAGCTGAACTTTGCATGTACGAAACGCTTTGCTCCTCGGTCTCCAGACGTTTGGTGTGGGCAACATGCCCGACTCGGCAAACTTGGGGTGGCTGCCCTGGCTCAAGGACCAGACTAAGAAGGGGCTCAAGGTGCGGGTGTGTGTATGTGCACGTGTGTGTGTTTGTGTGTGTGTGTGTGTGTGTGTGTGTGGGTGTAAGTGTGTATGTAAGAGAGAGTGTGTGTGTGCGCGCGTGTGTATATGTGTCTGCGCGTTCGTGTGCGTGCGTGCGTGCGTGCGTGCGTGCGTGCTGTGTGTGTGTGTGTGCGTGTGTGTGTGTGTGTGTGTGTGTGTGTGTGTGCGCGCGCGCGCGTGCGCGCGCGCATATGTGCTGCTGAAATGGCACCACCTGCCGCGCTTCCGCCGGCTCTGCGCAGCACCCGCTACACGTCCCCCCGGCGCCGTGCCGCCGGCCCGACAGCCCCCCCAGCACGTTCCGCCGGGCATCCCCGGACCCTGGACTGTGTCTGCCCTCTCTCGTGCGGACTGCGTCTGTTCACTCTCTCTCATACCAAAATCCCCCCCCTGGCTCACATGTCAGACTCCCGCCGTCCCCCATGTGCGTGCGCTTGATGGCGTCCAATACGCCCTGCCAGGTGTGCCTGACCAGCCAGTGCGCCAAGGGGGACCTCAAGCCGGAGCTCTATAAGGCCGGGGCCGCGGCCATGGCGCTGGGGGTGGAGGCGGGGCCACAGATGACCAGCGAGTGAGCGGGCAGTTTCGCGTGTGTGGGGGGGGGGGGCACGGGCACGGGGGATGCCACCCC